ACTAGTCACTACTAAATTTTTTAATCCTACTATATTATGGATTTTCGCGATTCTTCTTCTCAAAATCCTATTTTCAATGATAGTTGCTCTCCATATGGGCCAAACCGGAAAAATTCTATATTTTTATAATTTTATTTATACAATCATACGGGTCAAACCGGAACGAACCATGACCCGCGCGACCCGTGACCCGCATGGGCTCGACCCGGATGGGTCAGCGGGCGGGCCTGGGTTGTAGTCCAAAATTGTGGGCCGACCCGTAACCGGCCCGGAACCTGCAGCGGACGGGCTTTTTTTCATGCGGGCCGTTACCGGGCTCACATGTTGGTGGGTCGACCCGGCCCGGACCACCCGGATTGACACCTCTATGCTCGAATCGAAAATTTAGGTACTTTATCACTATGGTAATTTTTTTTATTTATTTTTTTTCACGTGAATAAGTTCAAAAATATTGCATAGGGTATGTTACTACAAAATTTGCCGCATCATGATAGGCCCCTCTTTGGTATATATTAAAATCTGTTTTTAATCTTAACTCAAAAACCATCAATTAATTTTAATCAAACAGTTTTATTGAATTCACAATTTTCAACCATAAATTTTATACCATTTCATTAAAACTTAATAAAAATCAGATTAAATTTACCCCAAACAGGGGCTAAATGTATAAACTTATAAGCATGAGATTGGATGAACACATTTAGCCTACTTATGACATATTTTATGACTCATTTTTTATCACTCATTTCATGAGATCCTCAACATTCATCAATTTTTTTCATCACAACATTAATTTTTAGTAAAATCTGCTAAAAAATGATTTTTAGCAAAACTAATCAAGGGCTTAAAATGCCCTCTAAGTTACATGGCTGAAAATATCTTTACATTGTAACGCTTTTCTTTAGTTGTATTAGTTTTCGAATATTTAAAATATTAGGGATATAGATTGTTGTGTAAAATATGAACAGTAAAATAAAAAAGAAGAATAACATTATGATCGACAAATAAAATATAATGTGATTCAACAATATGTCAACATTTACTGTTGTACGTTGAAAATAATCCACTAACTCAGAATATGTTTAGACACGTTTGTTTATATGGAACTCTAATGTCGAAAGTACCCATCCAATACCATACCGTACACTAACATCATAAAAGAGGTGAAGGTTAAATTTAGAAAATATTGAAAGAATTGCCCATGTTGTACCCATTAGCTTTACTGCTTTAGTAACAGACATAGGTTTAATATGGAGGGTAGAAAAGATATTATATCCTCAATTTCGAATATATTAACTTATAGATCTCAATTACAAATCGCAATTGTATAAAACTTTATGTGCTATGTAAGAGTTGTGTGTCGAAAAATGGTAAGAACATTCGATGATCCCATGTAAAAAGGGTTTGTTTGTCGTTACAAGACAACAATTAGAATAAGTAGACAAATTGAGATTGATAGTGATCTTGACGAGCTTGATGGAATGGAATCCAATCTGAGGAAGACCGAGTTAAATGGAAAAGCTACCTTGAAGTTCCAAGCATTATCCATCCCTATCCTTTTCAAGAGGCCCTCTGACCAGAAGCTGAAATCGTCTTTTGCTACAACAAGAAAGGGAGAGATGGGAATTGCGATAATATAGTAGATGTCCAAACGATCAACTCGTCGTCTATTTTTTCGAGATAGATTTTGGCTTTAGGGTGGCTACTTTTTAGAAACATTAATTTCCTGCAGCCTATGATTGATTGAGTGATACCTAGGAGGAGACAGCTCGAATATTGGGATGATGCTACATATTATTTTATACATTGAAAATAAGGTTGATCTCTCTCATTTTTGTTACTTCTAAAGCTCCCGATACCTGAATAGTAACGTAACTCACGTATTCTGATCATTTCACACCATAATATACGAATATGATTTATTGACTTGACTGTCGGAATGTACGCGATCGTCTCTCCTACCTTCGAAAAAGGCCACATGTTTCTAAAAATTTGTCCAATTGTGCAAGAGCTTATCTACATAGATGTGAGTGGAACCAAGATCTATTGACTTGTTACTTGTGTAGAAACCAAGGTTAATAAAAAGCTTGGCATCAACTACTATCATTGAGTCCAGCACAAGTGATGGAGGAAACAAAGCCATCAATGCTTTTGGGAGATTTGCAAGAACTGGACCAATGAACCTCTTATTTATATGAAGATAAGTACGTCTTTTCTACAGGGTTTTCTCATCGGACAATCTTTTTACGATCATTGGAATGATTGAATCAGCAGTGGATTTACAAGATTTGTGCAGCAAATGATTAGCCATATCCCATATTTGAAGACTTTTACATTCTTTTTCCGGATTTTTGTAAGAATTTCTTTTTGTGCATTATAAAATATACACAAATAGCTAAAGCAAAAACCCAATAAAATTTCTTGTATAAACACGGGTGACAAAAATAAGAGATTCCCTTAGGCCAGCCATGGCTTCAAGCAGAAGAGCATATCCCAGCCCCTTTTTGCAGCATCCACCATTCATCGTCGCGTGTTGCACCACCACCACATTCGTAGCCATGTTTCCTGCTCTTTTTCTTCCTTCACAAACAATTTTAAGCCCAACCCAGATAGAAAAATTGCTCAGATTAATCTCCCTTTTGTGAATGTCTTTGTGTGTTTCTACGGATGCAATTCGGAAGCTAAACGCCACTTAATGCTTAGCCACGTTGAACAATAACTTGTTCTACGATGCTAAGCCCTCTTCTTCAGCTCCATTTCTCTATTACAGTGTTACGCCCTACCCATATTTGCAGCGAATTTTAGACAATTTATATTGGCAGTTATGGAGCCGCCCTAGTTCTAGTTAACCGATTGAGCTTCCGTGGAAGGAAGAAGTAAGTGAGAGTGAAGTAGCGATGGAAATGGTGGAATTGAAAGAGATTGGGAGAAAAGAGGCGTGAATGGAGAGGAATGAATGGAGGGAGGCGTGAATTATTGTAAGGGTTTGGGTTATTTTTGGTTTATATCATTTGAGTCTGTATATAATTTAATTTGAAAAAAAGTACAAAATTTTTCACAATGTTCAGAAAATGTTGCTAAATGTGAACTTTTTCGCAATGTTCAGAAAACGTTTTGCAAAAAGTGATCGTTTCGTAACAATCAATAAACGTTGTAAATGGTTTTATATTGAGAGTTTCTACAATATGCCTGAACGTTGCTATAAAACCCGATTTTAACAACTTTCAAAAAACGTTGCAAAAACTTAAAAGTT